TATATATATATATATATATATATATATATATATATATGGCATTCAGCTTTGCTCGGGTATTTTCCCACGTCATAGTAGTTGTGCTTTTAAAGTTGTAGCGACGTTACAGCAGAATCTCATCTGCCATCATCAGGCTTCAATCACAGTTACTACTTTTTGATTCAGTATTTTCTTCTTGTGTTATCACTTGTAATGGGACAGACAAAAACATGAATAATGGCTTATAATGGCTATAGCATTTTAAAACATGAACCAGAGGTTCTGCTGAAGGAAATTTTCACCATGCTAGGAAACATCAATACTAAAAATCACATTTTCTACACTTACTACAAATCCAATGCCATTATGATTTCTGGAATATGGGTAAAAGGCACCCAACTGCATCCAACGAGCACACATGTCATATGTTGTGTTGTCATTGAAGCCACAGATATCTGCTCCAGTCTGTACATAATAAAAAATATTTAAATATCAGTCTCATTTTTAAAAACAATATAAAGAAACAATTACAATTATTGTGAATTAAACTTACATAGGATATTCCAAAAAGGCTAAATTCCATCATACCTGAGAAAAAAGTTGTACACTGTTATAGCAAATGATTTGTCTTTTAATAATAACTAAATTAACCTTTTGTAGGCCATTAGGGATTTTGTTTTGATTTTAATTAAGAGGTACATGTATCAGTCTAAAGTCAGTCTATATTAAAATTACAAGTATTGATTTTCTTCTGCAAGATATTTAAAAAACACACAGATTTGTTTGCCAGTGCAGTTTTCTGTAATAAACTTTGGCTTTAATATAATTATCTCAATAATATATGTAAAATATATAGATACATGTATTTTATATATGTAACTTTCCATAGTATGCATTTTAACATGTAATTTTATAATATATTCAAGATGTTCAATGAACTTTTAATTCTAAGAACATGATATGGTCAGGATGATATATTTGTAGATTATAATGAATTCTGTAACAGATTTTGCATCCATTTTGTTAAGTTTCATGTTTTACATTAAAAACTGTAATACATATTATACAGAATTGGAAACTGGAAACTTAAGAAAATCCTAAATCCATCTTTTCAGAAGATAGTTTGACTAGAAATATTGCCCCTCCATTATTATGCACTTTTAAAATTTAATTTAATATTACTTTATGGCTTTTTTTCTTATAAGAGAAATGATCTATCAGTGGATTCTTTTTTTTTTTTAAACCCCACTTACAAGTTTATTGATGAAGATAAAATGCAAGAAGTACTTAAGTGCTATGGCGGTGCATGGTTAGAATGCAGTATTGCAGACTAATTAACTGCCCAATTCCAGGAATTTGATCTGACTGGCTCATGGTTTACCCTGCCTTCCATCTTTCTGAAGTCGATAAAATAAGGACTCTGATTATTGGAAAAAATATGCTAATACTGTAAACTGCATAGAGTAAAGCACTATGAAGTAGAATTAGGTATAAGTGCTACTGCAATTGCTATTTATTTGGGGGGATGTTTCATAAATGTAGAAGAATATAATAACATCACATGCACATTCCCAAAAGTGCAACTTGAATGTTTTTCTTAATTGGATTCATTGAAATATAATTAATCATGTATTAAGTACATGATATAATGGAATAATGAGGAAGGAAAAATTCTTTGGGTGGTAATGGTAATAAGAATAGTGTTATGAAATATGAAAATATTTAGTTTCACATGCAATACTTTCAGTGCATATTGTGCTCATCTGGAAAAAAAATATTAGGTGGCAAAAAATACAATTGTTATGTTTTCAATGTATTAAGACTGAAGTTTAATTCATAAGGAACTGAGAAAATTAAATGTTCCTGATGAGTATCTTTCATGATTTTTATTTCTTAATATTCAAAAGTAGCCTATGTCATTAATTATACATTGCTAATATGTCCAGAAATGGGACACATAAATAAATCTGATGACTACAAAAATGTATGCAGTCCATTGCAAAATTGGGTAGATAAGCATTAAGAGCAACTTTATACTACTGATAAGAGTCTGTTACTTAAAGTTTTATAAACAGTAGAAATTTTATTTGTTTACATAAAACCTATTAACTGCATGCAATTTAGATTTTACTTACCAATTATGGATTTGTAAAGTTGGTCCCATTTTGAAATATTATCACCTAACCAATGCCCTGCCCATTTGCCACTCGATGGAAATGTTGAACGAGAAATGACAATGCCACGTTCCCCTGTGATACTATGCAGAGCCCTAATAACAGGAAGAAACCAACATTTAGGGCGAATCATTAAAAATCATTATATATACATTTTTTTATTTTATTTGTCTTTTTGGTTGTTCGGGTTTTCTCCCGCGTAAGATTTGAAGTATCTAGGCAACGTTTCGATGAAGTCTCATTCATCATCTTCAGGCTTCTGTCTTCGGCTCTTGCTTCTCAGAGTGATGTGAGATTGCAGAGTGATGTGAGATTGCAGCTGCTTCTTCCTTTTAATTGCTAGTGGGGGTGGGACTTGATTGGGTGGGGGCTTGGCTGTGTTCTGATTGGGTAGGGGTGTGTTCTCATTGGTAGGGGGTTTGGCTGTGATCTGATTGGTTGGGGGGTTGGCCGTGTTCTGATTGGTTGGAGGCATGTTCTGTTCAGGTGGGGGCTTGGTTGTGCTCAGGTTAGTCTTAGTTGCTGGGGGATTTGAGTTGGTGAGCTGTGATCTTGCTGTTTGGCTTCGAGTTCGTGGTTGTTCTCACGGGTACTTACATGTATGGTATTCAGCTTTGTTTGGGTATTTTCCCATGTCATTGTAGTTGTGCTTTTAAAGTTGTAGCAACATTTTGGCAGAATCTCATCTGCCATCATCAGGCTTCTGCATTGTGTTTGTCTGTGAGTCAGACTTTCACAGCCGTTTATGTTTTAAATTTGGTGCTAGCCTACTGCTGTGCCAGAATGGTTTTTTCTTCATCCTGATTGGTTGGGAGTCTTGGTCTGTGTTTATTGGTCTTGGAGTTTGCTGTGTTCTGCTTGATTAGTGTTTCTAATATCTTCTGTCTACATACATACAGACAGACATACATAAAGACATACATACATATATCTTTGGTTATTTGGGTTTTCTCCCACGTAAAATCGGAAGTATCTTGGCGACGTTTTGATGAAATCTCATTCATCATCTTCAGGCTTGTGTCTTCGCCTTTGTTCTTCTCGGAGTAATGTGAGCTTGCAGCTGCTTCTTCCTTTTAACTGCTAGTGGGGAAGTGACTTGATTGGGTGGGGGCTTGGCTGTGTTCTGATTGGTTGGGGGGTTGGCTGTGTTCTGATTGGCGGGGGGTGTGTTCTGTTCAGGTGGGGGCTTGGTTCTGCTCAAGTTAGTCTTAGTTGCCAGGGGATTTGAGCTGGTGAGCTGTGATCCTGTTGTTTGGCTTCACGTTCATGGTCATGCCACATCTTCAGGGTGGGCTTCTGTTCACTTCATGTATGGGTCGGAGGGGTTTGAAGCAGGTAGTGATGTAGCTGCGGTACGGCTTCTGGTCCATGGTCGTGTCTCATCATCCGTGTGGATGTGAGTCTGCTTTCTATGTGGAGGTGGTAGCATCTTGTGCGGCCCTCGTTGGTGTGGGTCTGGTGTCATTCTTCATGTTAGGTACTCATTTGTTAGTGAGGGCGGGTTTCCAAATGGCTGGTAGGAGGGAGGAATCATCTCATTTATTCATGCTGTGTGGGCGTTTTTCTATCTCTATGGCTTCTCTGATTATTCTGTTGTTGAACTGTTCAGTTTTGGCGATAGTTTTGGCATTTTTAAAGTCAATCTCATGTCCTGTGGCTTTGAGTTGTTGGACCAGGGAAGAGGTCAGGTCTTTTTTGATTGAGTTCTTGTGTTCTTCAATGTGTGCACTTATTCTTCTGTTGATTTGTCCAATGTATGTGGTGGGGCAGGCGGTGCATGGGATTTCATATACTCCTTAGTTTTCTAACTCGATTTTGTCTTTAGGGTTTCTTAGGATGGTGGATATTTTTCTGTTTGTGCAGAATGCTGTCGTAATGTTGTGTTTTTGGATGATCTTGCTGATTTTATCTGTAGTGTCTTTTATATATGGGAGGAGGGCTTTGCCATTCTCTTGTTCTTTGTCTTGGATTTTGGTTGGGGTTTCTTTTTAGATTAGGTGGGTAATCTTCTTTCTTTGGAATCCATTGGCTGTTAGTACATTGGTGAGAGTGTGTAGTTCAGTTTTTAGGTGTTGTTCGTTGGCTAAACATTTTGTTCTGGAGATGATTGTCTCAGCTACGGAATTGAACTGTGCTGGGTGGTGGTGTGAGAGTGCATGTAGATAGCGGTTTGTATGTCTTTTCTTCTGGTAGATGGTGTGTCCTAGGGAGCCATTGGATTTTTTGTATACCAAGACATCTAGGAAGGGTAGTTGATTGTTAGCTTCTGTTTCATGGTGAATTGTATTTTGGGATGTAGGCTGTTGAGGTGTGTGAGGAAGTTGTTCAGTTTTTCTTTCCCGTGTGGCCAGATTATGAAGGTGTCATCTACGTATCTGAGCCAGAGTTTGGGTTTGTGATGATATTTTTCTAGAGCTTGTGTTTCAAAGTGTTCCATGTAGAGGTTTGCGATGACAGGTGAGAGGGATGATCCCATGGGTGCTCCTTTTATTGGTTTGCATTTTTGTCCATTGTAGGTGTATTGTAGGGGTATTGTATATTGGATAGGCAGTGGTTGGTCAGATCTAGAATGTGCTTGGCGGGGTTGTATTTGTTTTGGATGGCTGTCAAGGCTTCTTTTATAGGCACTTGAGTGAAGAAGGATATGACATCAAAGCTCACTAGCAGGTCTCTGGGCTGTAAGTTTTATTTCTTTATGATCTCAATGAACTGAAATGAGTTTCCTATGTGTGAGTTGATGGATTCTGCATAGGGCTATAGTTGTTTGGCGAGAAATTTGGCTAGGTGTTGTAGAGGTGAGCCTATGGAGTTGACTTTTGGTCTAAGTGGGGAGACCATAAAGCTTAGGGCTTCTGGATGATTTTTCTCTGGGTATGATTCTTTGCTGGATTTCTTCACTGATGGGGGAGGCTTTTATTTTGGATCTGGTGATTTTTTTCTAGGTAGGTGGTGGGGTCTGTGTTTAGGGGTTTGTGTGTGGGGTCTTGGAGTAGGTTGGTTAACTTGGTTTGGTAGTCAGATATGTTCATAACCACTGCCGTGTTGCCTTTGTCTGCTGGTAGGATTATTATGTTGGTGTCTTCTTTCAGGTTAAGTAGTGCAGTTTGTTCTTCTTTGGATAAGTTGCTTTTGGTTGGTTTGCTGGTGCAGAGCATGTTGGTGATTTTGAGTCTGATTCTGTTAGCATCATCAGGGTTGGTTTTGGTCAGGCTGGTTTCAACTCCTCATATAATGGTTTCTGTGGGGATGTCTTTGGGAGCGACAGCAAATTTGAATCCTTTCGAAAGGACATTGGTTTCCGCTTCAGTGAGGATCTTGTCTGATATGTGTGCACTGTTTGTTTCACGTGTGGCTGTGAGGGGGGAGGAGTTTGTTTCTGGCATTTTTGTAGTTTTCTGAGTTTGTTGGTGTATGTGTCTGTCTTGAGGGTGGTCTGTGTTTTGGTTCTCCAGACAGCGAGTTGTTTGGATTTGTCCCAAAGTGCTGGGTGAATCTTGTTGCTGAGTTTGAGGTGAAGTGTGAGGAGATCTTTGTTGATTTGGTCTAGGAGGAATCTTTTTGTGTGAAGTTCATTTCTAATTAGGGCCAATTCTGTTCTTTTTAGGATGGCCACCAAGATACTTCCAATTTTATGCGGGAGATAACCCAAATAACCAAAGATTCACATACAAATACCCGTGAAAACCTCAGAAAACAAATATTGCACCTCTACAGGGAGGAAACCCACCATCTGACCAGGACTTATGAAAAACTTGAAGTCCAAAGAGCTTCCATTTTATGTGACCTTGCATTCCTATGCAACTGCCGAGATCAAAATTTAATCCCCATAAGCTTCCAATTGAAATTCCACACCAACACAGCAGCCACCAAACGCACCCTAATACAAATGCAAATAGTTAAGACCATTGCATCAAGGGTGCTTCAAGAGTTTTAAATATAGACATACAACAATTCTTAATAGGAACATGGAGATAGAATTCATAAAATATTCTAAATTTTAACTTTTAAATCTCAAAATTGCCTGCAAATCAGGTATTTGAATAAAGGAAAATAAATTCTGGCTAAATCCTTGTTCTGTATGCTATTTCCCTATGAGTTGAGAAACCGCTTAGAGTAAATTCTCTATTGCAATATGGGATTTGGCAAGGCAAAGCTGAAAGTCTTAATTGATGTAGAGGTCACATAGAACTGATATAAATTGAACAAAAAACATCGGGAAGACAAGGGAATAATCAAACAGGTATGGCTTAAACCCATTCTAAGAAATTAACTTGAGAAACCAGTTCACACAGGTTCCATACTAATTCACATACTGATAAAAGTGAAGGAGACTGTAGCACACACACATTTGCAAGTTTTTGTTCTATTTAAAGTAGTTGTAGACCTATATGGCACCTATATACCATATAGGGCTGACATATCCATAAATACTGAGGCAATTGGGCATTACAATGTCTCTGGAGTTTTCCTCTTCTACAAAAGATTATGTATTTCTATCTTTTTCTCAGAATGAGTAAGATAAATTCTTTCTCTCAGAATCTGTTCTTGCAGTATTTTTCAATGGATTTTATTGTTGGAGATAATTCAGAGTGCTATTCCTGTTGTTGTTTTCTCTAACACATTTTTCTATCATGCTGAATCCTCTTCAACTTCCTACACTTCCCAATTTGATAAAGCTCAATTGGACAAATGTTTTCATTATATCATCTCTTGGGATTTAATTAAAGCGGACTGCTGAGAGATTATTATATAGAAAAAGATGTCCACATACAGCCTTCAACCACCTTATAACTAAATTAGTGGAATAACATAGCATTCTAGTCATAATAATTCCTCTAAAATTCAATTCTGCTGGGAAAGAAATTTAGGAAAATATTCTCTTTCATCAATACTGAGTAAGAAACAATACAAAAAATAAAATAAAAAAGGAATTTATCAGGCCATACATGGGATTCAAAATATTTCACTACCGGTTCTGTGGGCATGGCTTGGTGGGCGTGGCAGGGGAAGGATACTGCAAAATCTCCATTTCCTCCCCACTCCTGGGGAAAGGTTACTGCAAAATCCCATTCTCTCCCCACCCCACTAATCTGCT